AGCTCCTTCTTCCCAACGTTACTTTGATTCAGATCCAGAAATATTCGTAACAGACCCTGAGTATATAGACAGGTAGCCTCTTAACGATCATTTTTACTGCTCTTGCAAGAGGTTGCAAAGCATATAAATTTAGTATAAAAAAACTTCTACAGTCAACGGATCCTCGTATAATCACAAACTATATATTCATGTGGTTTTCGAGGAAGTGGTTGGGAGAAATGGGGGAAATATACGAAGACATTGAACAGGTAAACCAATACTGTTGACATTTTTTGGAAATCTTGTTGGGTGCACTTTAGACCGTTTCCTGAGTTCAAAGTGCTTAGAAGATTATAATGGAAATTTAGGAATACAATAATGAGATGTTTGGACAAAAACAAAAACGGCCACGATGGAAGATGTGCACTGAAGTCACTACGACGGTAATGAATGACGCTACCATAGCGTTGTACGTAAAGAAGGCATTGGACAAGGTAGCAAAAATGGTATCAAAATCCTCTAATCTTTTTCGAATTTAGACTACAAAGAAGAACATAATAAATATTGCCAACGACCTACTGGAAGTGTTCCGCAAGAAACTCAATACAAGCAACTGGATTGATGAGGAAACTAGAATTGTGAGAAAGATTAAGATTGAAAGATTTAACTAACTACCGAACATGCCCTGCAGGAAGCTTTGAATAAGTTAAATCACATGCTGCGTCAAATAGCTTACCCAGAATTTGTTCTAAATACAGGAATGCTTGACAAGCATTACCGTGATGTGAGTAAACACCTAACACTGGCTATCTGCGATTTCGTACATGGTAGTTCAGCTGGATGTGCGTGACACCGATTCGTACAGTGAAATGGTGGAAAAGCTAACTCGATGGCATATCGAACGCTTCTTCGAACAACTCACAAAACTTCCGGATCGTTTCGTAATCTTCAACCCAGCCGATGTCCGTGCATCGTACTACCTACATACTAACTCCTTACGTAAGTCTATGCATCTCTCATTCTTCGCTCCCACATACTCCAAAGCTGCTTTTAGTTAAAAAACTGTATTTTTAGAAATCACTGCTGGCCATCTCCAACCTCCCTATTTTCATAACACATTCCCAAGGCTAGTTTT